CCGTCCGCACGCGCGCCCGCCTGGACCGGGAGCGGCAGGCGGCGCTGGAGCTGCGCGTGGTGGCGCGGGACGGCGGGCGGCCCCCGCGCGCCGCCGCCTGCCGCCTCAGCGTGCGGGTGGAGGACGCCAACGACAACGAGCCCCGCTTCGAGCGGCAGGTCTACCGGGGGAGCCTGCCCGAGCACGCCCCGCACGGCCGCTGCCCGCTGCAGGTGAGCACCCCCCCACGCCCGGCCCCGCCGCCCCCTCGGTGCTCGACGGCACCGAGCAGGCACCGGGTGCGGGTCCCCCCCGTGGGCTGCGGCGTGGGCGCTGCTGTTGAGCGCCGTGGTTGGGCACCGAGGCACAACCAGCGGAGCAGCTCTGCGTTCCTAATACTGTCACCTCCATAGGTGCCCTTGAAAGTAGATTTCTTCTCCCAGAAAACTTGTAGCACACAAGGTGGGATCGTCACAGGCACCCCAGAGGGTGCTAAACTGCCTGTGGTGCTTTGGAGGGCTTGAGGTGGTCTTCCTGAGGACTTGAGGTGGTCCTCCTGAGCAAGACCCATCTCCAAGGGTAGGTGTGACCCACAGGACAGTGGAGAGGAGGCCAGACTTGTGTGAACGCAGAGGGACCTGAAATTGAAAAAGTGCTTTTAGAGCTGTGTATAATATTTCCCGAGAGCTCTGCTAATGAAGAGAGTCAATTCACTCTGCCTTCACAGAAGCTCATCAATGCTAATAGAAAAAGTGCTCTACGTGTCCATCAACCCCCTCTTTATTCTTTACTCTTTATTTAGAGTAACATGCTCTAGCTCTAGGCAATCCTGCTTCAGCAGGGGAGTTGGACTAGATGATCTCTATGGTCCCTTCCAACTCTAAAATTCAGTGAAATTCAGTGAAATTCCTTGCAAGCGAGGTTGAATGGAGGTGTTGCAGGGCCGGGAGTTGCCAGATAGCCCTCTCGCTTGTAGCTTGGAAGACCATTTTAGCATGTGTGCTTTTATACCTTTGGACCAGGCAAAGGCTTTCCCACCAGTTGGAAGTTCACAGCGGTTGATCCTAGGTGGAGGTACCAATGTTTCAGAGTTTGTGCAGAAACTTGCATGAATTTGGAGAAAAAAAGTGCTTAAAGTGGAGACCTAGAGAGAGTTGCAATGAGTTTTCTCAGTACTTTTAAAGAAAAACCATTCTGCCTTTATCTCTGGGTGGGGAGGCTGCGCTATTTATTTATTTATTTATTTTAAAATCAGGAGTCATCGATGATGTTTGGGTCTAAGCATCATTAACTTGAATGAAGAACATTAGAGTGTTTTACCGTCTCTCACACTTTTTTTTTTTTAATTGCACCCTGAGCTCAAAAGGTGCACCTTTTGCCCAGCTCTAACACAAACCAATCTCTAAGAAGTTTGGGAAAGTCGAGCTCGTGGAGCTTTCCCTTTCGCATCCCAAACGGAAAAGAAAGTCCCACCCCTGCCCTGTCTTTTTCCCTTCGACCCCGGGCACAAAAAAAGAAGTTAAAAAACAAAAAAGAAAGGGGGGTGTCCTGCGCAGGTGACCCCAAGAAAGCCCAGGGGGAAGGCAGTAATGTCATTTTAGGAGTTCGCCTTCTCCCGGAGAGGAGCGCGGGGCACCCGCGTGCGCGCGTGCGTGTGTGTGTGCGCGCGCGCGTGTGCGCGCCGCCGGCGTCCGTGGTGCTGAACGGCGGGGAGCGGGGAACAGCGGGGTTTTGGGCTTGCTTGGGGGTTGGTTTGTTTGTTTGTTTTGATTTAACCGAACAGACGCACCCCGAAGGGTTCCTGAAGCGTTTTAAGGAAAATAGTAACCCGTGGTTGTGGTTTTATTACAACATAGAAAGGACACGGAGCTGTTGGAACGGGTCCAGTGAAGGGAGGATCAGAGGGCTGGAGCACCTCTCCTATGAAGACAGGCTGAGAGAGCTGGGGTTGTTCAGCCTGGAGAAGAGAAGGCTCCAGGGAGACCTTATAGCCCCTTCCAGTACCTGAAGGGAGCTACAGGAGAGATGGGGAGGGACTCTTTGTCAGGAAGTCTAGTGACAGGACAAGGGGTAACAGTTTTAAATTGGAAGAGAGGAGACTTAGATTAGATACCAGAAAGAAATTCTTTACTGTGAGGGTGATGGGACACTGGAACAGGTTGCCCAGAGAAGTTACGGATGCCCCATCCCTGGAAGTGTTCAAGACCAGGCTGGATGGAGCTTTTAGCAACCTGCTCTAGTAGGAGGTGCCCCTGCACATGTCAGGGGGGTTGGAACTTGATGATCTTTAAGGTCCCTTCCAACTTGAACCATTCTATGATTATTTTTTTCTGGTAGGTTTTCATATAGGAGTGGTGCAGATTTTCTAGTCAAAGGTGTGTCTCGTACTGTGGATATCATGCGTGGTGTACTGTTCTGCCATAACTCTGTTTGGAGAGTACAAAGAAATAGTTAGGTCCTGGTTGCTGAATGATCAAGTCTGGGATATCGAAGCCAAAAGGGCATAAGAACGATGCACGAGAGGTGTGTAGGAGGAATAGCAGATGAGCATCCCATGGACTGCCAGGGAAGGAAGCTGATGTTTCTACTTGCAGATTAATCCTGGATCACCATCCAAGCTTCACGCTGCACTGTATAATAGGCTTAAGGTTTAAACATACCTATCTTTTAAGTTTTAAACATACTTGCCTTTTCAAATTATCCTCATGCCATTCTGCCTATTTTCCTTCCAATTAACTGTTGTGAGCAGGAAAAGCTATCATGAATCAGGTGGCTTCATTTATGTTGCTCCAGGTGTTGCAGCTAGTTGTAAGAATGAAGAAAATAGGTTTTGGTTTGACCAAACCATTTTTTTAGGGCCTGTGGTATGAGTCCTGTCTCTAACTGGACTCTTGAACTTAAAACCTAGCATGAAAAGGAGGTGACCCCGGACTGTGTTATTGCTGCTACTGGGGAACTGGAAATGAACCAAAGCACCAAAGGAGGCTACTCCTGTCACTTAGCTTCCTCTGCTCCACAGCCCTGAGGGGCTGCAGAAGAGGACTATGTTTTTTTTTATCACACATTTGTGATAAACATTTATGCTCTGTTTTACATTTAGATCACAACCCTAATAGTTGTGAGTCTTCTAAACCTTCCAGTCTTTTCTCTCTGCAGGCAGAGGGGCTCTTGCAGTGGTGCATCGCTGAAGTCTTGTTCATTAATAACTTTTGCTTGGGGACCAAGTGGTGGTGAACCATCACTTTATAGATCACGTGTCTATAGCTTTCTGCCCTGGTGCTTTGCTGTAGCTCTGCCCAGCCACTAAATACTCGGCAGTTTATTCCCTTGGGTTCTTGCCTGCATGTTGATAATAGGAGATTTCTTTCCTTCTGGGAGGACTTTTACTCCTGCTATGGTTAGTATTTAAGTTATCTTCATTCCCTCCCAACTCTCCACAAATCTAGCCCATAAAGTGGGCTAGAAGAATTACCTGTGCACTTAGAAGACATAGTTGTCTTCTTCCAGCCTGTTCTGGAAACACTGCTTTATTCCAGGCATGTGTATGGGCTTTTCTGTGTTGACAAAAGACTCTCCCTTCCAGTGTGATTGACAAGTAAGGGAGAGCCCATCTCCTGAAAAGCAGGTGGGATTTGTTTGCATCATCTAATATCAGAAAGAGATGTGGTAATGCTGCATCACTGGGGAAAATAACACAGGTGGAGATCAGAAGTCTGGGCAGACAAATGGGAGAAAATCTAAATGAAGAAGAGGGAAATTCAATGGGAAAGTAATGGGTTATCGGACATTAGAAAATAGAGTGAAGGTATGCAGTGAAACACATAAGATTTTTGAAGACATTAACCGCATTTGTCACATTTTTGTCCATTTTTGGATACTGAACTTCTGGTTTATTATACTTGATAAAATTTACTTGAAATTTACTTTAAAAATTTACTTAAAAATTTACTTAAAAATTATACGTGATAAAATTTAAGCATTGCTGGTGGGATGATTAAAAAGAAGCAAAACAAAAGAAGATATAAGCACAGGGAGGAAATGGTGAACACAGTTGGAGAGAAATTGTAGACCAAGGCAATTTGCAGTAACAAAAATGGAAGCAGTAGAAGCATTCTTTATGGATGACATTTCTGATTCAATTATCATGATGAACTTTCAGCATAATATGAATCTATTTCCTGAAGATCTTCAGCATGACCTAGAAAGGGGATAAGATGGAGGAATGAGTGAAAGCACCTTGGGCTTTCTCCTGTTTTTCTTACTATGACTTTCATTCCATTCTCAAGGACCAAAGTGATTACAAATGCCTGTGGATTGGTGAGTGATGGTGATGATTATGTCCTATTTCTGCTCTCCTTGGTGTCAGCTTGGCAATTTTAGGTGGATTTAGTAGCTGATGATGTATACCTCTATGATGATTGCACCTCTGTGACCTAAGAGTGAGGAGTGTGACAAAGTGTCCCTCTTCTGAGCCATTCTCTTAATGCAGTGAATGAATTAAGGAATAAAGCTTTGCTGTAGACCTGCTGTGCTAACATAGGTTTAATTCTGATTATAAATTTTAGTTTCAAGCTTTTTTTAGGTGATTGTGGTGCTTCTCAGTAGTCATTCTTACATTTGTCTTTAGTGTAATATGTCTCCAAATTACTGTACTGAGTTGCTAAGTTTGTCAGGATTTTCAGTCTTCTAGCTGAAGCGGCAACGTATTATCTTTCTCTTTCTCTCATTGAGTAAGCTAAAGCTTGATCTAAAAGGAAAAAATTCAGTACATCAGGTTGGTACCAGTTTTCCTTGTGTTGTACCTTTGATGGGGTGGAAGGACCCTGTTCTGTTTCGTATCTTCCAAGGACTCCTGCATAAAAGAGTATTTCTCCCTTACTGGGCTGTGCAGAGCTTATAGATAGAAAGAGATCTGGTGACTGTGGCAGTTCTCAGCTGAACTCATATTTTGAACTGAATGAAGGTGTTTATTTTGTGTTATACAGTGTAGTACTTTCTGTATATGTTTGGGGCTTGTAGGTTAAATTTGTTTCCACTGCTGGGGTATGCTGTAGCTTGTAAGGTATTCTGTGGCATAAATGTCATTCATTTTATACTGCCCATGCCTTTTTGTGAAAAGTATATTGAGTTATGTACACATAATTGCATCTTGAAGAAAACATTAGTGACAGTCACATCAGTAGTTTTTTCCTGAATTTATTTTCTTTTATGGTTTATTAGAAAATACATGTTT